CCCTTTGGACCTAATCAAATTTTACCACCACCTAATTAGCCAGCAACTCATTTCAGTACATCTATTTAGAGCAAGAGAGTTACAAATTAGGGCATTCTAATTAATTACCTTTGTTTAAAATAAATTAAAGAACAAAAAATCATATTGAATAGGTTCTGTCTCATTAGAATTTTTTTTACATATAATTTTCTGATAAAGTGAAAATAATCATTCCATGGACATGAATTTCACTAATTACATGGCATGTGTAGGCTCCTTAATTTTCCAAGTTTGTAAAAGGGATGGAGTTAATATGCATAGTTAAAAATAAATGAAGGTAAACCATCAGTTACTTAACATAGCAGTGTAAGAAATTGAGTACTGCTGATAAATGATAATTGACTCTGACTGCTTTGATCCATTTCTAAAATAACACCATTAAATTTCTAAAGGCTAGCGAAAGGACATAACAATTTATTGAAAAGAGAGAAAGAAAAATTTAAAAACTAGAGTTACTTCTTCAAGTTTAGAGTGGTTGTTGCAAATTCAATTAATAATTATTCCTGTGTTTAATATTTTCTACTGGCTCCCTTAAACATATGAAAGTCATTAGACTTTAATACACATTCACATTACATCTTTATAAAGTCATCTACTATAATCCTTTCAGAAAATAAGTACCCTTCCAACATGTTGTCTAGTATCCATTTCCTCTGGTACAGCAAATTGATTCCACACCCAGCCACGCTTAGCTCTCCCAGTAGATGATGCTGATCTCTGAGTCTTCCTATCTTGGAAGTTCTCTGTAACTTTAAGAAAAGGCCAGAGGAGAAGAATGGCCAATATCCAGTGTTTCAGGAAGCAGCTATTCATTTTGGTGTTCATTTGAATTACACCTGTAATTCTAAAGAAGAATAGGAATGATGTAAACAAATTTTGCTGTTTCTCAGTACTCCTTTTCAATCGTAAGTATCATGTATATTCCTAAAACATAAAAAAAGAACAAAAACTGACATTTACAAAAATGTTCTCATATAATTAATAAAGACTGATTATAACATTTGCAGCTGGAAGTAAGGAAATAAAACAGACATTTAATTTATCTTTCAATTAAATTAGTTATTTGTATTTTGTGGCTCAGCAATGATCTGATGGTAATGCTAAAGATTTTAGCTTAAGAATCATTTGTTTTAAACTGCAATCATAAATCAGCCCAAAGGTTTTAGTATTTCTTTAAGAATCTCTTTGACTGACAGCTGACATTGAAATATATCCAATTTTATTATCATTTAACTGTCTTACTTCCTTTTTTATTTCTATCTCAGGAAAACTCAAGTCAAGATATTAAAAAAAAACTCCTCCTTCTGCTTGCTAGAAATAAGTTTTACCTTACAATTTCTCATTATGCAAAATATATGTAGTACAAATTAATTTTTACCTATAACTGAGAAACTTAATAATTAGTGAGATTGATGTTACAGATAACCTCAACTAAAAAAAATCAATGAAAAATTATTTATTGTTAAAAATTAAATAATTATAGCTTATAAAGACAGCTATGGTTCAAAATGGAATAATAAGGGAAATTTTCATTATTATAATATTAAATAAATGATATTTTTTAACAAAAATGAAAGCAGATGAAACCAGGGAAGTATATAAACTGAAAATTGAATATGAAAGTTATTGCCCATTAACTAATAGAACAAACTCAGGCCTACTTCCTCTATTCAGAACCTCATAGATCTTAGGCTACTCTCCTCAACTCTGAGACAGCAGCCACTCTCACCTTCCCCACCTATGCACAATATCTGCACAGTACATTGAGTAATCAAAATCAGACTTAATCATTTTCTTGAAGAAAAATAGTCTAGTGAATTCTGTTTTTTTTTT